TCGCGTCTCGGGAGTTACGACACGGATTCTCCGGGGGGCTCACGGCGAAACGGTTCGCCGTCGACGCGTTTTTCAATGCGTTCAGCTCGACGTTTATCGGACGGGACCCATGTTGAGGTATACAAGGGGGTATATCGGCGAAAAATCGTTCATCGTGATCGCGTTTTGGGCTCCATGAGCGGAGGGTGATCGCGCGGAAACGGTCCTCGACGACGAGACCTCGTCACCGACGCGTCCGGCCGCGCGGCGCACTTGGTTTCTTTTTTTCGCTCTCTCTTCTTTCCTCATGTGTGTTTACCTATATAATTATTTCTCCTTTTTTTTCTACAGCGTGTATAGTAAGTTTACAAAATCCACACATCCTGCCTGTCCTGTTTTGTTATAACTCTTAAACATTACGTTTACTTTGTACTATAAGTTGCGGCCGGGAAACGAGCCGCTCTCGTTCCCCGGGCGTTCGAGGTCCCGCTCTGCGACATCGCTACGCCGTGTGTCTACTTCCTGTTCATCCACCTTCGTGTTTCGTTTTTATTCCCCTCCCTTCTGCCGTGTCCTCTTTTTGCTTTTTTTTCTTTTTTTTCTTTCTTTCTTTGCTCCGTCGATTTTTAAATATGCTTATGCGTGCGTGATACATGTACTATGTAATCATTATCAACTACGGTATAGTACTATTATATACTATACGAGCAAACGGTACAGTAGTTGCCAGTGCACTCTCTGCGCGCGGTGTAGGTGCAGTGATGACATCAATTTTGCTCCCTCACTCCCCTCTCGCGGACAGCGGCGATTTCCTTTCTCTTTATCTGTCCTGGAGCTCGCTGCCCGCGTGACGTGAATGATAACGAAGGTTCCCCGTTACGGAAAGCCCGTTCACACCGTGACTAATCCGTCCGCTTCGACGTGCTCGAACGTGCAGCTTCGAATGTCGCAGTCGAATCATCATCGTAGCATAATATTGTTAATCTGACGAACACTAATTTATCTTCCGCAAATCAGTGCCAACCTTCGAAGAATGTTCGAATCGTTTGCCGAAAGAACCGAATCGAAAACGTGCGAGACTTTCCTCGTCTACACGACTTTCTGTCTTCGTAGAATTTTTGTATCATCACGTTTTTCTTAATTTAGAAGATATTAGTCAATTTAGAAGTGAGTAACGTGTTCTGAAAAATTCAAATTACTCGAATTTCATTCTAACTAATCCGGATGATCCTGATTATATCCGGTTTACACGATCGCGTTCGCGTTGCTCTTCGAAAGCGTGCGCGCGCGAGCAAGCCACGGTGTGAATCTTTCCCGTTTCTCTCTCTCTCTCTTTCTCTCTCTGTCTGTCTTTCTCTCGTGTCAAGCCTTGTGTCACACACGACATCTATAAAGGATTCTCAATCCGTAAAACACATATTATAGAAACAACATGCAACATTTTATCCTACCGCCGTGATACAATAATGGTACATACATACGCGTACGTTTGCGTGCGCGTGGCACGCGCGCAACGCGTACGCGTGTCGCGCAAGTGTCGTGTACGTGTGAACGTCTATGTGTTATATGTTTGTGAGTGTATATTTTTTGCGTGTACATATATATACATATAGATCAAATATAATTCTTACACCGGATGTACGACGGATCGTGAAAACGTCGAAGACGGAAGCGCGCGCGCACACGTTTCGCGCACCCTTCGACCTCTCGATCACGGATCCGTCTATTAGCGCGTACCTCGACGAAAATCGACTGTAACAGCGAATTTGGAATATCACTCTCGAGCCGAAGATGCTGACGCGAGCTCGGGGAGAATCGAGAGTAAAAAGTAAACGATAGAAATATCGTAATTTCGAAAGCGCGTTTCAAGAATCGTCTCGATTACTTTTTTTCTTTCTTTTTGAGCAAAGCGATACGACGAAATCAACGACGATTTAAAAATCGATTTGAGTCAAATTGCCGATTTTCGGCTCGTTTCCAAATACATTTACGCGCGTGACCGATAATATTACGACTAATTAATTCTAAATTTTTCACTTTAACTCTAACGTCGTTTATCTTTTAGGTACGTGTGTCGTCCTCTTTTCTTTTCCACCTAATAATTTCCCTCGACCGACATTTTCCCTCTCGCTCTTCCCGATCTGCTATATATGTGTGTGTGTGTGTGTGTGTGTGTGTGTGTGTGTGTGTGTGTGTGTGTGTGTGTGTGTGTGTGTGTGTGTGTGTGTGTGTGAATGCCGAGTTGCTGTTTCCGTTTATTTCCCTTGGAGAGCTGGTGTTGTCGAGTATGCTCTTTGTTCCTTTGTCCGATACTTTGATCTCTCGCTTTGATGCAATAATCATTCATGACCTAACCATTTGGAACTACCAACAATTGTATTAAATTACTTCCGAATTTTCTCGATTAGTATTTGATTATATAATTTTAGCTTAACACTTACTTTTGAATGAATTCAATAAATTGTCCATTATTACATTAACACGCGTAAAATAAAACAAATTAAGAATGAAACAAAAGATGAAAAAAAGATACACAAACATTGTGTAAATAATATTTATTTCCAATTATTTTAAATATATGCTTGGCAATTCTAACATCGTGATTCTCAGCCACAAATTATATTATATATAATTATGTATAATATATTATGTATAATTATATTACGGATATAATCAAACGAATTAGAAGAAATTGTATTTCAAAGCCAGTCCAAAAAGAGAGTGGCAAAATAATTCGTGTTAAGAGCCAGTCGAAACTAACCAACAAAAGTCTCTTTAATAAATAGTTTATATTTTTCATTTTTTTCGTATCATGAATCTTCTCATTACTTTCCTTACATTTTTCAAATTGTCGCTTTCTTTTTTACCTTCCTTCCTTGCTTCGATATTATATGTACCTATATATTATATTACTTTCTTAATTCATTTTCCCTTTTCTATCTTTTGTTTTCTCTGCTTTTTTTTCTTTAATCCTTTTCTTTCTCTTATTCTTTTCGTTTCGCATTTTGTTCTATTATTAATACCTTTAAAAAGGGATATATTTATCGATATATATATATATATATATATATA